TCAGCTCCAGCTGGCTCTCTGTGGAGCTGTCCTCGCAGGTGGGGGCCAGCAGGTGAACCTCGGGGGGCCTTGTCGAACCACACGCTGAGAGCAGAGAGAGGGGAAAACACAGTCCAGTGTCACTGTCTGTAGATCCCCAGTCCCCTTCCAGAGAGAGCGCTAACCCTACAGTCCTCCCAGCGCTAGAAAAAAACCCACCTTGTTGGGTTTGGGTGAGGGAGAGGGGGAGGGAGTTAGGCGGTGAGCCGAAGTTTTCCCCTGTACAGAAGGGCCAGCATGGGGCTTAGGTGCCACTTCAGCCCAGCTGCGTGTCTAAGATTTCCCAAGGTGCCTAAGGGGTTTGCATTCCAACTTTCCACGGGAACCAGGTGCCTAAATCCTTTAGGCAGGGCTGAAAACTCTCCCCCTTAGTGGAACATAGGTCTCTGCCCAGGGGTGCCTTTCACCCGAAGGTTTTCCTCGTTCGGGGGTCCATGGAGGGGGCGCTGGGGGCAGGAGTTCTGCAGTGACAAAGCACCAGGGCTCAGCGTGTTTCAACACTGGGCCAAACTTTCCCCAGTCGTTCAGAGTGAGATTTTTCCAGAGGCACCTACAGGATGTGGATTAACATTAACTGGCTCCCAGACCCGCTAGGCCCTTTGAAAATCTCAGCCTGGCTGTCCCGTCCTCCCCCACCGCATGTCTTACATTCCCGAGGGAACGTCTTCGACACTGTCTTTGCTGTGCCTGGATGCGTCACATCGCACTGGTAGGTGTCGCCCTGCCGGGACCAGTCAGGGAGGATCAGCAGGCTGCTCCGGGTGTGGAGCCCGTCGCTCATCGTCACCTCTGGGAAATCCTTGACCCCCTGGGTCACTTTGCCAGAATTCCACTTGATGTTCACTGGTGATGGTAAATAGCCAGTTACGAGGCAGGCCAGGCTTGTGTCCGGGGGAGCACTGCCAGTCTGGGTGCAGCAGGGAACCAGGGGGAAGACGGACGGGGGGGTGGATTTTGCTGGAAAGATAAAGAGAATATAAGAGAAACCATCAAAAGGGGGAAATCAGAAAACCATGTCACTGATCAACCCACATCCGTCTATCCACCTCCTTCTATGGCCCAGTGGCTGTATGGCCCAGTGGTCAATTCACTGGAAAGGAGTCAGGACTCAGGTTTATTCCCAGCTGCTGTGGGACCTTGGGCCGGTCGCAGACCTTCTCTCTGCCTTTCACTTTCCATTGTGCAGGGGTGTCCTAGCGCTGGGCAAAAAACACGAGAAATGGGATTCGGACCTCGGCTCTTCCAGTGTAAACCTGGAGCAACTCCGGTGGAATAGCTCTGGGTTTGTGCGA